CTGAAGTAGTCGGTTAGTCATGAACTTCCTGGTCCGGATAGTTACTGTGTCGTTCATGATGGCGGCCTAGCTTCAAGCAGCCGGGGAGGAAAAGAGCTAAAGCATTTTTAATTTTGGCCCCATTAGATTTATTTCTGCACTAAGCGTTTCTGTAGTGTCTTTTATGCTTTTTTCAAGCCCAGCTTTATCATAGTTATCCTGAATTCCAGCTCTGACATTTTACTTATATCCATATCATTAGATCTGTGGCAGACACTATTACCTCTGGTTCTTTCCTTTGTTGTGAATTCCTCCTTCTAGTCATTTTGGCCAGGGAAGAATGGACAAATGAGAGAACAAAATAAAAAATATCAACCAGAACCCAAGCGAAATACACACCAGACAAATCCAAAGAGGTCAGAAACCAAAAAATAAAAGGAAAAAAAAAGGGGGGGAGGAGAAAAGAGAGAATATAATCTTCCAGGTGGACAAAACAGGGTGATCCACTTGGTCCTGGGTGTATTTTGGTCTGTTTGTTAGAAGACACTAAATCCCAAAATTGTAAAGAAAGCAAAACTCATACATATATATACAAAAATAAATTGAATACAGGGAAAGGAAGACAAAAATGAAGAATATAAAATGTAAATGTAAAAATGAAAGTTAAAAAAAGACTTAAAAACAAAGAGTTGATAAAGTAAGAAACTAGTTGAAAAGGAAAAAAAGAAAAGGAAAATTTTAAACTGAAAGATAAAAGAATCATGAGAAAAAAACCCTCAAATTGTATATACTATTAGAATATTGCTGGAGTTTTGCAGTTCTGTGTGCTTGGTAAAGTTGGTATTCCCCTGATGTTCCAGCTGGTCCTCTGGGGAAGGGGCTAATTCTCAGGTGTCTTTGCCTACGTGGAGTGGCACCACCCTTGCCAGGGGGCAGGGCTCTGTGTAAGCTGCTTGGGTTGTTCTATGTTGCTTTTGTTCCCTGAAGCCTTTCTGGGCCACTTTAGAGGATGAAAATAAACATGGTGGCATCCCAATCTCCAGCCCCGGAGCTGAAAGATCATCACCCTCGCTGTTCAGTACACCCTCAGGGAAAAGCAGTCTTTGTGTGCATCAAACTCTTCAGACTTCTGTGGTGTGACTTGTGCCATTCCTCCAGGAGGAGGAAGGAGGATTGCCATGGGCCTATTGTGGGGAAGGCAGAGGGTCACCATGTTTCTGCCCTTTGCAGGTCCCCTGCATGGAGTGCAGTCGCTGGATTGTGCCCTGGTTTGCGGTTTATGGCAAACCGAGCTGAGAGCCCCTTCCCAGGATTGCTGACCGTAGCTGGTTTCCCCACTCTGATGCTTGGGAACTCTGCTGGCTCAGGCATCCCCGTTCTTTCTGTGACCCTGGAGATCCTGAGACCACATGGTCTCACCTAAGATTTTGTCCTGCTTCACCACCTGAGTGCCTTTCAGGCAGGGACGTCTCTAATTGACTTCTAAAAGTTCCTATTTTGTGTTCCGGAGCTATATCACTTTCTGGTAGCTGGTTTAGGGGAGCTCCCTCGCCCCCCTCCCCCGCCCCGCCATTTATCTTCCGATATAACCCCTCTGATTCACTTCTCCGCACCTCCTACCTTGCAAAAAGTGGTTGCTTTTCTATGTGTAGAATCCCACCAATTCTTTTCTTACATCTCAGGTTGAATTCATAGGCGTTCAGAATGATTTGATAGTTAATCTAAATTCAAGGAACCAGATGAAACAAGGTCCCCTTGCTCTTCTGCCATCTTGCCTCTCTTCTCATTATCTTTTTAATGGCTGCTTGATTTCTAGTGAGTTCTTTCATTCTATCAAATTTTTTTTCTTTTTCAAAGAACCACTGTTTTAAAATTTTCTCTATTGTTTTCCTATTTTCAATTTCATTGATCTCTGTTCTTTATTCTTATCCTCCTTTTGCTCACTTTTGGTTTATTTTGTTCTTCTTTTTCTAGCTTCTTGAGGTAGGAACTTAGGTTATTATGTTGAGACCTCTCAATCTTTTTTTATAACCATATTCTAATAAACATCTATGTCTTCCTTCTTAGCATCCCAACTGTTCATTCTAATATTATTTGCCATTGCCTCATAAAAGTCGGTAAGTATACTCTTTAGGAAAAAAAAAAGCATAAAACAAATAAAATCTTATAATGATTTATTATTTATTTACTTATTTGACAGAGAGAGACACAGCGAGAGCAGGAACACAAGCAGGGGGAGTGGGAGAGGGAGAAGCAGGCTCACCGCTGAGCAGAGAGCCCGATGCAGGGCTCGATACCAGGACCCTGGGATCATGACCTAAGCCAAAGGCAGATGCTTAACGACTGAGCCACCCAGGTGCCCCTTATAATGATTTTTTAAAAGGTCAGGTCATGATCCCGGAGTCCTGGGATCGAGCCCCGCATCGGGCTCCCTGCTCCGCGGACAGCTTGCTTCTCCCTCTCCCACTCCCCCTGCTTGTTTCCTCTCTTGCTGTGTCTCTGTCAAATAAATAAATAAATAAAATCTTTAAAAAAAATAAAAGATTTGTATTTATTATTTGAGTGGGGCAGGGATGGGCAGAGGGAGAGGGAGAGAGAGAATCTCAAGCAGACCCCCTGCTGAGCATGGAGCCCAATGCAGGGCTCCATCCCATGACCCTGAGATCATAACCTGTGTCAAAATCAAGAGCCAGATGCTTAACCTGTAAGCAGCCATGTTTTAATATTTTTATTGGCTACACTGAACATGGAATTCAGAAAATGCTAATTTTTTTTAAATTAAGGTATCACTGACAGATAACATATTAGTTTTAGGTGTATATAATGCTTGAATATTTATATATATTATTGTGAAATGATCACCAAAGTCTAGTTAACATCTGTCACCACACAGTTATAAAATTTTTTTTCTTGTGATGAGAACTTTTAAGATCTACTCTTAGTAACTTTCAGATATAGTCACCATGCTTTACATTATATCCCCATTACATTATATCCCCATGACTTATTTATAACTGGAACTTTGTACCTTTTGATCCCCTTCATCCATTTCATCCACCCTTACCCTCCTCCTCATGCAACCACCAATCTCCTCTGTATCTATAAACAGCAAAAGAATGAAAGTTCTTATTGTGTTATGAAAATTTTTCTCCCATTTCTTTCCGCCTTTAGATACCTAAGACACTAGTAACCACTAGTCATTTGGGTTAAATCATTCTTCAGAAGCAGTATATTCAACTGAAAAGAAATGCTTAAGGAGCCAGATCTACGGAATGGCCTCTAGCAGTCACTCATTATGTTGTATCCAAACATTGTTAATCCTGATGAACAAGATAAACCCATTTCCTTTCACATATATCAAAAGGATACTGGGAAAGGAAGGAAAAAGATTTTATTGGAAGAGGTTTTATTATAAGTTTTTAAGGTTTGGGGCGCCTGGGTGGCTCAGTCGTTAAGCGTCTGACTTCGGCTCAGGTCATAATTCCAGGGTCCTGGGATCGAGCCCCGTATCAGGCTCCCTGCTCTGTGGGAAGCCTGCTTCTCCCTCTCCCACTCTCCCTGCTGCTTGTGTTCCCCCTCTTGCTATGTCTCTCTCTGTCAAATAAATAAAAAATCTTTAAAAAAAAAGTTTTTAAGGTTTCTGAATTGAAGTATATGAAAAGAAAATGAATAGATTATATGAAAACACTCAGACCATATTAAATGTCAAAACAAAACAGCACAAAGTTTTGAAAATACTATAAAATTTAATATTTCAAATAAATAAATATACATTATGCAACCTTCAGTAGGATCCATTATCATTACATAAAAACACTGATATGTGTGTATATCTTCTAGGAATGTAAAAATTACATAGTTGTTGACTTCTATAAGGCAAGCCACCTATCACATATTTAAGAAAGCATTAATAAATTCATTACCTAATCTTATACAAATGTTTTATATTTGCTAAAGCCTACCACAATGCATAGGGCGCAAATGTTGGCCAACTACTTCTTTTATGTTAGACTGTTTTTTAAACATTAAGATAGCTGAGAGAATCAACTTTACAGAGCTTAGCTTTTCTCAGGTATCTGACTTGTAGGAGGAGAAAGAGAAGTCCAGTGAAGTTATGAGGAATCACGTTGTTACTTTTCTAAAATGAAAAAATAAAAACATCTCATTTGATGACAATACACTTACAAGTCAAAATGGGCTCTAATACAAATGTATGGAAAGAGGTTTCGAAGAATAAATTGGATAACCCAGGGGAGGATCAGCTGCTTGTACTGTAAGGTTTCTTAAAAGTAGTGGATGAGCTTGTATACTATATCGCTCCTCATCATCATTTGTGGCATAAAGCAATTCCCATGACAGATTGGCCCACTGACCTCTAACAGCTTCAGCATTTAACTTCCCAACTTGGATCAACAATTCTTGAAGGGTAAGTACTCTCCCAGTGTAAACTCCCTTTAAAGTATAAAAGGGGGGTGGGGGAGGAGAAGAAAAAGTTATATTCAGGCCTTCACATTTTATTTATAAACTTAGAGAAAAATTCCATTGTAGTTAGGCAAACTTAAACAGAAAATGGTGTATTAAAATATACACATGAGTTACTTGTCTTCAGAATCAAGAATCACCTCTATTCGGTAGCTCTCTGAATAAGCTTGAAATGACAGCCATTCATTCAATAACCCAAACAGCAAAATCTCATCTACTTCTCTTTCCTTCTCTATTCCTTCACCCCATCTGGCCTCAACAATGCATAAGTCATAAATAGTAGACAGTGGACAATCACACAATAGACTCTTTTTAAAAGTTTTATTGAGATATAATTCACATTCCATACAATTTACTCATGTAAAGTATATAATTCAATAGTTTTTTTAGTATATTCAAATATATATAACTATCTCCACAATTTTAGAACATTTTCATGATCTCAAAAAGAAACTTGTGCTCTTTAGCTATTACTCTATCCCTTCATTCTCCCAGTCATAAGCAACCTCTAATGTACTTTCTATCTCTATAGTTTTGCCTTTGATGGAGTTATCATATGAATGGAATCATAATGGTCTTTTGTGACTGGCTTTTTTAACTTAACATAATATTTTCAAGGCTCATTAATGTTGTAGCATATATCAATATTTTATTCCTTTTTATGGTGGATAAGCCACATTGTATGTATGGATATTCCATTGTATGGATAAACCACAATTTGCTTATTGATTCATCAGTTGATGGATAGTTTGGTTGTTTTCACCTTTTGTCAGTTATGAATAATGCTGCTACAAACATCCATGTACAAGTTTCTATGTGGATCTATGCTTTCATTTCTCTTGGGTATATACCTAGGAGTGGAATTACTGAGTCACATGGTAACTCTAACTTTAATCATTTAAGAAACTGCCAAAATATTTTCCAAATGGTTGTACCATTTTACATTTCTGCCAGCACTGTATTAGAGTTCTAATTCTCCATATCCCCACCAATACTTATTTGACTTTTTGATTTCAGCCATTGTAGTATGTCCTTGTATGAAGTGATATCTCATTGTGGTTTTGGTTTGCATTGCTCTCATGACAAATGATATTGAACATCTTTTCATGGGCTTATTTATTGTGCCATTTGTATATCTCCTTTGAAGAAATATCTATAGAGATCCTTTGCTCATATTTTAAATAAAAATGTCTTTTTTATTATTGCATTGTAAGGATTCTTTAAATATCCTAGTAACAAGTCCCTTATCAGATATATGCAAATATTTTTCCCATTCTGTGAGTTGTCTTTTTACTTTCTTGATTATATCTTTTGAAGCACAAAAGTTTTTACTTTTGATTAAGTCCTATCTATTTTTGTTTTGTTTTGTTTTCATGTTTTTGGTGTTATATCTCAGAATCCACTTCCATATATGAAATCATACAGATTCACTCTTATGTTCTCTTCTATGATTTTTATGGTGTTAGCTCTTATATTTAGGTCTTTGATTTATTTTGAGTTCATTTTTGTATATAGTATGAAGTAACGGCCTGCAGTTGGTTGAATGGTATCCCTCAAAGAAGATGTATCTCAGCCTCAATCCATGGTACCTGTAAATCTTGTTCGAAATATGTCTTTGCAGGTGTAATTAAGAATCTTGAGATGAGATCATCCTCAATTTAGGTGGCCCTAAATACAGTGGTTGGTGTCCTTAGAAAGGGACGGGAGAACTGACATAGGGGGATATAGGAAAGGTGTCCATGTGAAGACAGAAATAGAGATTGGAGTTATGCTGTCACAAGCCAAGGAATACCAGGAGTCACCAGCCGCTGGAAGAGGCAAGATTCTCCCCTAAAGCCTCTGTACAGAAATTGGCCCTGCTGGCATCTTGATTTCAAGCTTTTGACCTCCAGAACTGTGAGAGAATAAATTTGTGTTGTTTTAAGCCACCCAGTTTGCAGTAATTTGTTGCAGCAGCTCTGAAAACTAATACAGGGTCCAATGACCTTCTTTTGAATGTGGCTATCTGTCTCAACACCATTTGTTGAAAAGACTATTCTTTCCCCTTAGAATGGTCTTGGCATCCTTGTTAAAATCAGTTGATCATAGCCATATGGATTTATTTCTAGATTTTGATTCAATTTCATTGATTTTTATCTCTATCTTTATGCTATTGCCATACTGTCTTAATTACTGTTGGTTTGTACAAAGTTACAAAATTTGTGTTAGTCTGACAGTTTTGTTTAAGATTGTTCTGTATAGGGGTGCCTGGGTGGCTCAGTTGTTAAGTGTCTGCCTTCGGCTCAGGTCATGATCCCAGGGTCCTGGGATCGAGTCCGGCATCGGACTCCCTGCTCCCCGGGAAGCCTGCTTCTCCCTCTCCCTCTGCTCCTGCTTGTGTTCCCTCTCTCGATGTCTCTCTCTGTCAAATAAATAAAATCTTAAAAAAAAAAAAAAAAGATTGTTCTGTATATTCAGGGTCCTTTGAAATTCCATACAAATTTTAGAATCAGCTTGCCAATATCACAAAAAAGCCAGCTGAGATTCTGATAGGGATTGTACTGAATCTGTGAATCAACTGGGGAGTATTGTTGTATCATTTTGAGCCATGAACATGGGATGTTTTTTCATTTTATTAAATCTTAAATTATTCCTTTCAACAATGTTTCATAGTTTTCAGAGAACATGTTTCGTGCTTTTCTTGTTAAATTTCTTCCTATTATTAAGTAGAATTGTTTTCTTAACTTCATTTTTAGATTGTTCATTCCTAGTGTATGGAAATACAATAGATTTTTTTATGTTTATCTTGTATCCTGTAACCATGCTGAACTTAATAGTTTTAAGTTTTTTAGAGGATTCCTTAGATTTTTCTACATGCAAGATCATGCTATCTGTGAACAGAGATAATTTCACTTCTTCTTTTCTAATCTGAGTATCTCTTTTTTCTTGCTTAATTACCTTGGCTAGAATCTCTAATATGATGTTTAATAAAAATGGTGAATGAAATCCTTGTCTTATTACTGATCTTAAGGGAAGCATTCAGCTTTTCACCAATAAGTATGATGTTAACTGTGGGTTTTTCATAGATGCCTTTATCAAATTGATGAAACTCCTTGCTATTCCTAGTTTAATTATTTTTAGTATGAAAGGGTATTGGATTTTGTCAAATGCTTTTTCTGTGTCTACTGAGATGATTACATGGTTTTTTTTTAATTCAATTGATATGGTATATTACATTAATTGGTTTTTCGATGTTAAAGAAACCTTGAATTCCTGGGATAAATACCACTTGGTCATGGGGTATAATTCTTTTTATACGTGGCTGGATTCAGTTTGCTATTATTTTGTTACAAATTTCTGCATCCACCTTGATAAAAGATATTAGTTTGTAGTTTTCCCTCCTTGTAATGTTTTTATATGCTTTTGGTATCAGGGTAATACAGGCTTTAGAAAATGCATTGGTTAGTGCTTTTACTTCTATTTTTTTTGGAAGAGTTTGTGAAGAACTGGTATTAGTCTTTAAAATACTTGTGGGGGGGGGTGCACCTGGGTGGCTCAATCATTAAGTGTCTGCCTTCGGCTCAGGTCATGATCCCAGGGTCCTGGGATCAAGGCCGGCATCAGGCTCCCTGCTCAGCAGGAAGCCTGCTTCTCCCTCTACCACTCCTCCTGCTTGTGTTCTCTCTCTCGCTGTCTCTCTGTGTCAAATAAATAAATAAAATCTTAAAATAAAATAAAATAAAATACTTGGTAGAATTGTGTAACAAAGCCATATATATGGTTTTCAGATTTTTTTTACAGTTAGTATTTTGATTACTAATTCAATCTCTTTAGTTGTTATAGATCTGTTCAGATTATCTATTTCTTCTTGAGTCAGTTTTGGTAGTTTGTATTTGTAGGAATTTGTCCATTTCATCTAAGTTATATAATTCACTGGCATACAGGTATTCACAGTATTCCTTTATAATCATTTTTATTTCTATAAGATCAGTAGTAATGTCTCTCTTTTTTTCATTTTCTATTTCATAATAACCTTTCTTATCTTTATTAATTTCTTTCTTCTGTTTTCTTTAAGTTTAGTTTACTCTTCTCTTTCCAGTGTTATAAGGTGGAAGGTTAAGCATTGATTTGAAATCTTCTTTTTAAACAGGCATTTTAAAGCTATGAATTTTCCTCTAAAGACTGCTTTAATTGCATCTCACAAGTTTTGGTATACTGTGTCTTCTTGTCATTCATCTCAATGTATATTCTCATTTCTTCTTTGACCACTAGCGACTTAGGCATGTGTTGTTTAATTTCCACATATCTGCTAGTTTCCTCAATATCTTTCTCTTACCGATTTTTAATTTCATTTCCTTCTGGTCAGAGGATAAACTTTTTAGTATTTCAATCCTTTGAAATGTATTGTTTGTTTTATGTATTAGCATATGATTTATCCTGGAGAATGTTCCATGTACACTTCAGAAGAATGTATATCCTATTGTTTTTAGGTGGAATATTCTATAGATGTCTGTTTGGTGTTTTGGGTTTATAGTGTTATTCAAGCATTCTGTCTTCTGTTGATCTTCTGCCTATTTGTTCTATCTATGACTGAAAGTAGGGTTTTGAAGTCTTAAATTATTATTGTTGAATTGTCTATTTCTCTCTTCTGTCAATTTTCCTTCATATATTTTGGTGGTTCATTGTTAGCTGCGTATATAATTGTTCTAGCTCCCTGATGGACTGATGCTTTTATCACTATAAAATGTCCTTCTTAATCTCTAATAACATTTTCTATTTCAAAGTCTATTATTTTCTGACAATAGTATAGGTACTCCAGCTTTCTTGTTGTTGCTGCTTGCCTGATATGCCTTTTTCACCCTTTTACTTTCAGTTTGTTTGTTTGTTTTTTAAAGATTTTATTTATTTATTTGACAGAGAGAGACACAGCAAGAAAGGGAACACAAGCAGGGGGAGTAGGAGAGGGAGAAGCAGGCTTCTCCACGGAGCAGGGAGCCCAATGCGGGATCATGACCTGAGCCGAAGGCAGACGCTTAATGACTGAGCCACCCAGGCGCCCCTTCAGTTTGTTCTTTTATCCAGTCTGACAATCTCTGCCTTTCAACTGTTTAATCTTTTAATGTTACTATTGATATAGCAGGATTTAAGTCTGTCATTTTCCTTTTGTCTTCTATATCTCAACTTTTTTTTGTCTCTCTAGTCCTCTTTCACTGCCTTCTTTTGCATTGAGTGTATATCTTCTAATAAAGAATTTTAATTTAATGATTTTTTTTCACTTAAAATAAGTTATTTCCTCAGTGGTTGCTCTAGGGCTTGCCATAAATAACTTATCAGAATCAGCATTAGTTTACACTAATTCTGGTGAGATAAGAAACAATAATCCTGTATAATTCTATTCTCCTTTTGCCCCTTTTTGTGGTATTGTTATACATATTACATCTATAATGTTTCAAGCCTAATAATATATTGTTATAATTACCATTTTACATACTTTTATGTCTTTTAAAGAAACTGAAAGGGAACAGGTATATATTTATTGCTTTTGCTACATTAACTTTTTATCATTTCTGGTTCTCCTTTATTCCTATGGATTCAAGTTATCATCTGGAATCATTTCTTTTGCTTAATACAACTTTGTTTCCACTGACTTCCATTCTGCAATTATTGGCAAATATATCACACTTCTATATGATACAGGCCTAACAATACATTGATATCAGGAAGCATGATGCTTCCAGCTTTGGTCTTTCTCAAGATTGCTTTGGATATTAGGGGTCTTTTGTGGTTCCATATAAATTTTAGGATTGTCTTTTTATTTCTGTGAAAAATGCCACTGGAATTTTGGTAGGAATTGCAGTGAATCTGTAGGCTGCTTTGGGTAGTATGCACATTTTAATAGTACTAATTCTTCCAATCCATCTTTCCATTTGTGTCTTCTTCAATTTCTTGAATCAATGTCTTACAGTTTTCAATGTACAGGTCTTTCACTTCCTTGGTTAAACTTACTCCAAGGTATTTTATTTTTTTGATGTAATTGTAAATTATTTTCTTAACTTCTTTTTCTGATAGCTTGTTATTGGTGTATAGAAACACAACAGATTTGTGTGTAGTGATTTTGTATCCTGTTAACTTTACGAAATTCGCTTATTATTCCTAAGTTTTTTGGTAGAGTACTTAGGACTTTTTATATATAATATCATTTCATCTACAAATAGTGAGAGTTTTAATTCTTCCTTTCCAAATTGGATGACTTTATTTCTTTTTCTTGCCTAATTGCTGGGGCAGGACTTACAATACTATGTTGAATAAAAGTGGCAAGAGTGGCATCCTTGTCTTGTTCCTAATCATACAGGAAAAGCTTTCAGCTTTTCACCATTGAGTATGATGTTGGCTGTGGGCTGTCATATGTGACCTTATTATTGAGGTATTTTCCTTCTATATCCACTTTGTTTTCTTCTTTAAGCATGGTTTCTTTTTTTTTTTTTTTTTTAAGATTTTATTTATTTATTTGACAGAGAGAGACACAGCGAGAGAGGGAACACAAGCAAGGGAGGGGGTGGGAGAGAGAGAGAAGCAGGCTTCCCGCGGAGCAGGGAGCC